CCCAAACCGGCCTTCAAGATCAAGATTAGTTTGCCTCAACCGATTCATGAGATGTTTCAATTCTGTGATCTCGTGTTGATAAACTTGTTCCCTTTTTTGCTCATTTTCAAAGTAGTATTGATATTGTTCTTCGTCAATAGGGAACTTTGAGTCTATGATGACTATCTTCAGGTTGGAAAACTGTTGCTCTCGAAGGGATGTGTATTCTTCCAGCTGCTCCCTCACCATTTTGCTTTGTTCATAAAGGCCATGTAACTTATTTTTGACCCTTTCATTCTCTGTCCATGTTTTTTCCATGAAGGACTTGCTGTCATGCATACAAATTGTGAGGTCATGACATTCTTGTAATGCAGAATTGAGTCTCTGCGCTTCTGTTGAAAGATGATAGGTGTCTGTATCATAATGGTCCTCTTGAAAGTGTCTGCATACCAAACTGTCATTGAGGGTCTGTGTCGTTTCGTATCTGTTTTTCCTGTTTTCATTGTCTGCTCTCAATTCTGCCTCCGTCTTCACCTCATGATATTTTACACTCTTGTTTTCCTGATGTGTCTTCGGGTTTTCATTGTCTGCATCAATTTCCAAGTTCAGACAAGGTTCAATCAGAGTGTCTTTGTGTCGTTGAGGATCATTAATTTGTGCCCTCGAGTCTTTCTTGTCACTTTTCATCTTTGCTTCCAGCTGCCCTTCGTCAAAGGTTTCCGTTTCACGTGCTTTGTCGAAGAGACATAATTCTTGATGGATGTTTTGTATCAATATATTATTGGGAGTGTCAATGTCCTCTGTGACTTCTTGTTGATCATCTATTTCCCACTCTTGCGATATTAAAACGTCATCTTTACAGAAGAGGCTAAAGCGAACCTCATCACTGGTCAACTCAGGATCTCCGGAAGATGTTTCCATGCGGGTAGTCTTTTGTTTCTGTTGATTTTGGGCAGATCTATATCCTTCAAGCTCTTCACTAACCATCGTGTCCTCTTTTAAGAGGTTGCTGTTTTCAAGGCCATGAAGCTTGTTGCACAGCTTTTCATTCTCTGCCCATCCCTTCTCTTCGTCATCTATCCTCCTTATGATGTCATTTTGATCTTTCAATTCGGCCTTTCGGCTCTGCGCCTCCATTCTCCTACAATACATTTCTCTTTGATTTGTGTCCCTCTGAGATTCAGCATGTGACGAGTCAGCAAGCCAAGTCCCCCGGCTCTTATTTTTCATGTCATTTTTTGTGAGGATGTTTTCTTGGGTTACCAATGTTTCATTTTGTTTGTCGATCCATACACTCTGGGTTTCAACGTCAGCCAGCACATCTGGAAATGTATTCTTATCATCGAGAGTGGACTTATGTCCGAGAACCTTAACTTGTGTCCTCAATTCCTCCTCCTTTGTTTCCATCTTCTCACACTGGCATGTGAGCAATGCCACTTCATCACTCAGGGACTTAATTTTATCCATTAGGCTGTTCTTTGTGACTTCGAGAACTTTAACGTGCGCCTTCAGGTCTTCATTCTCTGTCTCCATCTTGAAACTCGGCGATTCAAACAGCACCGTAGTAAGATTGAAAAGTCTGTTCTGCTCACTCGGAATGTCATGTTGAGGATCCTTCATTTGTTCTTTAAAGTCTTTGCCCTCAGTGTTCGTTTCCAGTTCAAATTTGGCGCTATCAAAAGGCTCCCCTATGTGCGCTTTTTTCAAGAGACACTCGTTACATTTTTTTGTCACAAATAACTCTTCCATCTGCTCCAGCTGACTTTGAAGATCCCGTATTATTTGTCTCAAACTGGTGACGAGGGTATTAAGCTCCTCGGTGACTTCTCGTTGATAAGCTATCTCCCGTTTTTGCTTTTCGATCATATGATCTTTACTGTAGATGAGAAACTGAACTTGCTCACTGGAGAGTTCATGGTCCTTTAAAGCTGACCTTAGGTGTGCAATTTGTTGACTCTGTTGAGTTTGAACTGATTTGTTTTTTTCCAGCTCGTCTCTGATCATCTCGTTCTGCTTTTTTAAAAAGGTATTGTTTTCATCAAGGTCAAGCAGTTTGTTGCTCAAATTTTTGTTCTCCACAAATCCACGCTTCATGAGAGTTTCAGCTTCATCCATCCGCCTGATTAAGTCGTCTTGATCTTGAAGCATGGACCGAACTGTCTGCAACTCTGTTCTCAGACGATGAATCTCTGTTTGATTTTTGTCACTCTGAGTTTCAATTTGATACAGGTCGGAAATTAGATTCTCTGTGCTTTCATTGATGATGATGACATTTTTTTTCAAAACCTTTGCTACCGCACAAAGGTTTTCATTTTGTTTCCCAATCCTCACAGTCTGATTTTGAAGATGTGCCAGTGCATGATGGAAAAATTCATTCTCCTTCAAAAGACCGTCATCGTTTTCTTGAAAATACTTGACTTGTTCCTTCAACTGTCCATTCTCTGTATCCATCTTCAATTTCTGGCATTCCAGCAGTGCTTCGTTGAGGAGCCTGTATTGCTCATCGAGAACACTCTTGATTTCTTCAAGAACTTGAAGTTGTGCCCTCAAGTCGTCTTTCCCCTTTTCCATCGTCATGCCATATAATTCAAGACAGGGTAGCTCTTTCCTGAGAAACCTATTCTTTTCAGTTGCCATGGCCTTGTCTCCTTGCCCCTTAACCTGTTTGCCCACAACTGTCTCCATTGTGGTTCAATCTAGACTGCCTTGCTTAAACCAGGATCTATAACTTGTGCATCCGATTGTCCGGTCGCCGTTCCCCATCTTGAAACTGTCTGCGATCCAAATAGCACAGAATTCTGATCAAATTATTTCACTCCAGAGCATTCTGAATAAATCTGCAATGTGACAAGGGATAGTTTAAAGGTGGTCTTTATGACATCATCAGAGAGAATGTGTGACTTTGGTCTATGGTGTCATCAAACTGACAAGTGAAATACCGTGTGTATTCTTGCTTCATGGTCATTGACAAACGGGCGAGGAACGGGCGAGGATGTCAAAGTGCTTTAACACCGTCTTCCAATTCACATTCTGATCACAGCATGGGGAGCAACTGGTGTTCAGCGCCTCACTCAAGTATACTGCAACATGGTCACAAGGGCTTAGGGTTTGACCCACACAACCATCGGGTTAGGAGATGACCACTGCACCACTTGAGACACGCCGCCCTTCATCTTGATGCAGGACCGCTCTTTACCAACCTGTACAAGCTCGACAGAGGTTCAGTAAATACTAAACTCTAAAATGAAACGCTTCAAGGGAACGTCAACCTCTGCCACAACCACCACCACACTGGATCTAAAATTGAGGCGGGTCTACAATGGTAAACCAAGATTAATTTGAATTTTACTTTTGAAATGCACTGTCAGAGCCACGATACTCTATAATTCTATTTAATTGCGGACCTCAATCTTAGAGACAGCCATTGAAAATGCCATTAAAACTTGGATAGCAAAATCAGATTTTGCATATACGGTATATGACCCTTACTGAAACGAAAACACATAACTTCCAACCACAACTGTAAATATGGGATTAAATTACGACTTCTCTGTTTGTGTACAGTCAAACGACCATTTTTTTTCATCAAAATCTTGATTTTCTGAAGTGCAGAAAAACATCCGGTGCAGTCCTCAATCTTTAGGCGTTCAGCTCATCACCCACTCGATTGATACAAGCACTGTCATTTAGCATGCCGTATACATGAAGAATCCTCCAAAGCCTGTTCCCATGTAGGTTGGCAACATTTTTTTTTAAGTCCAAAAAATTGATGTACATTTGCCTTTGGCACTTATTGCCTACTCCTCATTAGCAAACTACTCTCGCATGTCTCAAGTTTGAAGGGCAATTCTCCAGACTGCATGCTTGAAAATGGAATACTACAAAATAATCAATCTCTGTACACACTTGTCATCTATGCCGTCTGATTCTATGCACTGCAAAATAGCAATTAAGTCTGAAGCCTGCACTCACTAATATCTAATTTTAGTCATGCTCAGATAAGAGTGTCATGTGCCCAGCAGAGGGCGACATTCAAATCTCTCAAAATATTTTTTAAACAAATTATGCTATTAATTTACTGCATTGCATCTACCATGGTTTGTAATAGCTGGCGACAAAAATTTTTTTCACGACACACACCTGCCGCTTTCGAGAGACCAGAAGAATAAATGACTTTGGGAATGGAATGTCATCAACAAGAGAGATTTGGAAATAAAAAGCTTGTATGGACAAAATAAACTTCTGCAGTCATCCCCGTCCCTCTTTCAACGAACACAACCGAAACAAACTTCCATAAACAAAAGACCTTTTTAAATAGATTTTTTTTTTTTTTTAATGTATGAAGGGGCGGCCCAGTAGTTGACCTCACAGTGCAGAGATACCGGGTTCAATTCCAGCTCTGGCCTTCCTGTGTGGAGTTTGCATGTTCTCCCCGTTCTTGCGTGGGTTTTCTCCGGGTCCTCCGGTTTCCTCCCACATTCCAAAAACATGCATGGCAGGCTGATCGAACACTCCGAATTGTCCCTAGGTGCGAGTGTGGGCGTGAATGGTTGTTCGTTTCTGTGTGCCCTGCGATTGGCTGGCAACCGATTCAGGGTGTCTCCTGCCTACTGCCCGAAGACAGCTGGGATAGGCTCCAGCATCCCCCGCACCCTAGTGAGGATCAAGCAGTTCGGAAAATGAATGAATGTATGAAGGGCTCATTCCAAGTTTATTCACCCTCAATTCTTCAGAACACTGACAAAACTTCCATCACAACAATTTGTAACAGGCCCAGGGAACACACACTGATTATGGATGGTATCCATTAAAACACAGTTCAAATCTTAAATGTCTTCATTGTCTTCAATTCTGGCTTTCATCACTTTGAATCCCAAGTGCATGCTTAAAGTACTACTTTTTGTAATGGGATTCATATCTACGATATTAAGAGGGCCAATGCATTTATGGATTCCTTGAGGTTCCCGTAGTCAGTCAGGTACATAATTTTTTTTGCTGCAAGTAACAGTATTGTCTTCAAAGAAGTTGAAATCATTGAAACTTTTATTCACATTTTTACATCTGCAGTCGGAATTTTTGAAATTCATTTCAACATGACAGGTTTAATCATTCTGGCAACATCTAACATTTTTAATTTGTTTCAAAATATCAAACATTGTTTCATTGATAACAATGTAACAGAGCCAATGTGCGGCAAGGTTCAACCATGAATAGTGGTGGTGAATAAAACACAAACACGCTCTATTTTTATAATTTACCAATCCAGTATTTGTCGGGGAAAAAGACAAAAAAAGACATCCCAGAATACATTTCATTTGCAACCAGCCCTTGATGAGAGATGCACGCTGCCCTGGTCGATGCTGCCCCCTAGTGTATAAAAGTTAAATGGCGGTCTCTTGAGAGTAAACAAATTAGATTTGACACACATGGGCTCTCTTGTAGCTGTAAACCTGTGTATTTATATTATTTAGTCAATATTACATTTCTATATATACATGTCTATGTATACATATATCGATTATTTGTCGTTATGTTGATTAGAAATATTTTATGAGGGATACTTTGAACTTTCAATATTCAATGTGACCTTTAACATGATTCCCAAGAGAGGTGACCAATGATATTAATCAAAACACTTAAAATCCCATTTTGGGTGTCTCTGTTTTGCAATCATGTCAGAGATGGGGGAAAAAACCCTGAGTAGGCACATAGGGAGATGTCGGCACCATAAAAGCAGTTTAAAGTCAGTGGTGCAGCACTGGTGGATTTGGATGTGTTGGATAGATCGGCCTGCAAAGCATGTGCGCAAGCTCCTCATGAATAACCTGTGCGAATGCAGAAAATTCAAAAAAAGCCTGGGAAGAGATACTGGAGGAGCAGGACAATTCCCACCACCACAAGTCCACAGAAGAACATCACCAACCAGAAGGGAAATGTTCCTGAAGAGAACAAGAAAGACACAGGTAAGTTCATATGGAGATTTGTCTCATTTGATATACTCCAATAATACATACCCGATTCCAATGAAGTTGGAACATTATGTTAAATATAAATTAAAAACAATACAATGATTTGCAAATCATGTTCAACTTACATTTAATTGAATACACTACAAAGACAAGATCATGTTCAAACTGATTAATGGTGCCTTCACAGATGTCTTTTAAGTTACCCATCCCATTTGCACGAACACGGTGCCATTCCATCACAGATGCTGGTTTATGAACTCTGCCTGTTGTCGGTTTTTGATGTAATGGTGCCTGATTGATCGAAAAGTCACAAGCATTCAATGTTGTTTTTCAGCCTTGCCACTTATACATGCAGTGATTTCTCCAGATTCTCTGAACCTTTTGATATTATGGACCGCAGATGATGAAATCACAAAATTCCTTTCCAATTGTACGTTGAGGAACATTGTCCTTAAACTAACCCACTATTTTCTCACGCAATTGTTCACAAAGTGATGAACCTCGCCCCATCTTTGCTTGTGAAAGACTGAGAAATTCAAGGAAGCTCTTTTTATATTTCATCTGTGGGGTTTTCCAAACAGGTGTTTGATGAGCATTCCTCAACTTTCTGAGTCTTTTTGGCCACCTGTCCCATTTTTTTTTTTTTTGAACGGGTTGCAGTTATTTGCTGGAAACAATAATGTTTATCAGTTTAAGCATGACATAATCTTGCCTGTCTTTGCAGAGTATTCAATTAAATATAAGGGTGAACATGATTTATGTTTGATTTATGTTTAACACAACATGCCAACTTCATGAGAATTAGGCTTGTAAATTGATGTGAGTGCGGGACGTACTTTGGTTGTGGACAGCATGTAGCTGACAGCGGCTGTCGACAGCCACACTCAACATGACAGTTTCATTGTTTCCTTTGATATTTTGGCCTTTGAATGCGTCGGGCAGGAACGCCAGGTCTGTCACAACAATCGCATGGGATTCCTTCACGTAATACAACCTCTGCACAGACATGTACACACGAAAGACAAAGTTATCATGAGAGAGCAGGGCCATTCTAATCATTCAAGTCTTTCAACAATGCAACTACCTGAAGGGAGAAAGCAATGTAGATCGCTACTGATCCTGTTACTGTTCCCAGTCCAAGAAATGTTCCAGAGTCACTGTTGGAGACAAAATCGGTTGAACCTGATCGTCTGGAACAGATGGCCCAACCCAACCGCACTCCAAACACACTCCGTGGAATTTAACCTTACCTGACAGCAAGGCTTGAGATGACCTCTGCCCCACAGGGAGCTGTCAACATGGGCAGGAAGCTTTTGCCGTCCCACTTAGTGAGGTAACACGGTGGAGGTTTTCGGTCTCGTTTATGCGGGATTTGAACTGTGTAAAGCCTCAGTGCATCTTTTTGGTCTTCTACCTTTCCGAATCTGAAGTACACGACACATTCATGTTAACACGTCATTGTCGTCCTTATGACAATCATTTACCGTTCCACTGATATGACCAAGATGATGATTATGAAGAGGAACTTTTTTTTTTTTTTTACCTGCAAGCCAAATACCGATATGTCTTTTCAGCTATCTGAGGCATGGTTTCATGCCATTTAAGAGCCATAACTTGTTGGTTGTTGCGCCATACACTGCAAGCAAAATCTCTGCCAACAGTTACCAGGTGCTGCATGGAAACAATAGATATTGTAACAAAGAAGTAAACGTCATGTTTTTTTTTCCTAGTCACATTAGTACGGTATGACAAAGAGGCTTTTGAGCGCAACCTTGTTTCCTGAGCTCAGATCCAGGTCTTCTATTTCCCCTTCATGCGCTTTGAAGTCAAGCTTTTTCTTTAGGGATGGAAACTGGAAGGAAAATATATTTAGGATTGAACCGATTTCCTCGACTTCAAGCAATAGTATACATAAAATCGACATCTACTGAAGTTATCCTGAATAGATGACGACATCGTAATGCTTACCTCCCAAACTCTGATGTGTCCGTCTGTGCCTCCTGTCAGGAGCAAGCTCAGGTCATGACTAAATCTGACCACCTTTTGGAGTGGGTCCACAGGGTTCAGATCTGACTGCAGTTCAGCCAGTTCTGTCACAGAGATGTGTGTTGTCTCATCCTTCGTATCAGACCCAGAGACAGCAGCCACGTCCTTTTCAACTTTGTTTCTCTTCCCACCTCGTTGCCTGGCATTACCTTTTTGCACGTTGTTTTCTATATGGAAGACACAGATTTTGCAGGATGTAGGCATTTTGCACAGATACGTACAAGACTGATACTGTACATACTGCAGGATAATGAATGAATAGTCCTGAGACTTTACATATTTCAGGCAAAGATTTTGAGAAGGACGTCACAAAAGATTAGTAGGTTTTCTTAAGAATTCTGAGATGGACCTCCGCCCTCTCTGGGATAGAAGTAGAGATTCAGGTCAAAGTCGCACTGCATACCATCATTAGCAGCAGCCTTGCCTTCACTTTTCTGTGTGCAGTCATCAACTTTCATCAAAGAGCATGTTCCATCTTGACCTGCAGCTATCACCCCATCGCCTAACGCCAAATTCATGGTGGCACGCGTGTCAGTGTCGTGTGAGTGAAGCAGGCTGGCACTGTACTGGCTTTCTCCAACCAACTGCAGCTCCAGGAAGTGCTGTAATACACAGTCAGGAATCACTTGGGCACAAGACGTGTCAGTTGATAGACATTCATGCATAACTTTTGCACTGCGCTTACCACACTATTCTTGATGCCAGTATTGGAAGGCCCCCCTCCTCCTGCTATCACCACTAGTCCTGCTTTAGGGTCGACTTTTATGGAGTACAGGGGAAAGGGGGCTCTGTAGAGATCTGGCACCTTCCGTTTGCCCATTGCTGGCCTAAAATTCACTCACAGTTCTTCATACAAGCTCTGCATTCAAGCCCACCTGTAGCAAAACATATGAGCATTGGTTTGTTTTTTGTTTTTTCCCCACCACCTCTGCCCTTTTATCTGCGAGCAGAGGCTCAAAGGTGTCACCTACAGGATGGTGCGCTTTGAAAGGTCTGGAAAAAAAATTAAAGGAAATTAAGTAAATTATAGAAATAAAATGCAACACCCGATCTTTGGTCTTTCTTTGCGCTCTCTTGAAACAAAAAATACAGAAAAATAAACAGTGACAAAAATTCCCATTTTGTCATTATTTCAAATTGATTGATCTGGCCACGAAACATTCTGCACAGGAGGAGGAAGAGATGTTTTTATTTATAACATGCCTATTTCATATAGTAGAATGACACAATTGACTTAATGCAGTGGTGTAACATTACCGATGTTGTAATAGAGCTGCACGTCAGGAAACAGCTTGAAGCAGGAAAGTTCTCAAACTGTATGTTATGGTAACATTACTTCATGGTGTCGACCACATTTATTAACGCTGAATAGCGTATCCGCATAAAAATCTATAATAAATAATATTGTGGCGCTGTGAGGACTTTCTCAATATCTTCACAAAACCCGTTTTACTTGTTTTAACCATACTGTTACTTGAATATGTTTGTATATGGGTTTGCTGTGTTTAATTACTGGTTTGGTCAGTTTAATTAAGACTTAAGCCCTTAGAGTCTCTCGTATGGTTGTGGCTATCTTGGCAGTGAGGCAGCTATTTTAGATTACATTTTAATTCAACACATACATATTCCTGGCTTTAAAGTTTCCAAGTTTGAAGTTACCAGCACAAGATTGTTCACGCGTGAGTTATTTTCAGTTTTCATTTGGTGCAGTTATTGCATTTTGGGGGGGTCAACATTTTGTTGTTGTTATTTTTTTAATCTAAATCTAAAAAAAACATGCTAAAGATGACGTCAATGTTTGCAAGTTATCAAGGATGTTTGCCTTGTCAGCAAAAATGGTTCCATCCTCTCTTAAAGCGCCAGCGCGCAATAAACAGCATCACCTGTGACGCTTGGTTGTATTTATCTTAAGTTTTTTTCCATTTGCAATAGTTTGTAGATTGTTTTTTACGGTTACGGCAACATGTTTTAAAAAAATGTACCCAGGAGGTTGCACAAAATAATCTGTCTCTACTTGTAAAATAAAATTTTCTCCTCTAATGTATGGCAATATCAGAGAAAAACAGTTCATGTGAATATCATTGTGTTACATGTCAGATTTATCCAATTACTTAATTCCTGATCAAAAATCCATTCAATTTAAACACTTAAAACAGCTAATTTCTGAAATGGCAGCAAATTAGACGAATTAATGCATCGACGTATAGTGATGTACAAACAAGCACAACACTTCACTAGGAAGCATTATTTTAAGACGAGTGAGTGAACTATTATATGCCACCAAGTGTGCATTCTCGTCCAATAGCTAAAGGCAAGTTAGCACGGCTCGCTGCTAGTATACCGTCATGTTTGATTATTACATTTGAGGTCGCCTACCTGTGCAAATGGTTCCGTAACCCTCATGTAGGCATTTCATCGGGGTTACAAAGTGCTACAGCCGATTATTTCATTATGACCAGCTTCGATCAAAGTCTTGTGATGTGTAAAATGGCCGACGCGTCCATGATGCAACGCGAAGTGACGACACGTTCAGACAGCTCACATCTACTTCCCGAACACGTCAGCAGCCACCGTCGACGTAAACTGTGCCATGACGTTCCCACAAAACTGCTCATATTTTTTTAACACCTACAAATACGTGTATCATTTTGAAAAGGAACTGTCATTTGCATTGCATGCCCCGAATCATAGCTTCTGGTGATAGAAGATTTAAAATAATAATGAGAAGAATTAGTGGCATGGATGAAACTGCATGCTTGTTCACCTTGGATGTGTGCAATAAATCATAGGCTAATCCTTAAAAAAATAACGAGAGTGGAATACAACTACTTAGAAAGACAAACCTGGGTACGATGTCATCCAAAATATAATCGATCGTGGCTACACCATTGCAGTTGCAATTAAATTACAGTTGATTAATGAGTGATAGGTTTTAATCTGTTTTCCTCAGCAGCATGTTAATTTTGTGCAAAATGTTTTGGGTGCATTACTCATTGATGATGCATTAAAATACATTTAAATGCACGACATTGCCTGTAGACTACACTTCTAATGCAGTTTATGTCAGCAACCAACATTCCACGGATATTATAAAATCAAGATTTAATATCACTAACGGTATGGAATACTAGGTTGTTGTCAGATTGCACTTATCGGAAAATAGATGGCCAACAACGTGTGTAATGATGATGGTAAGCACGGGGGTTCAGAGGAAAAATCAATAGGCACAGGCCTTCTAGCAATGTACAGTAATTGTCAGAAAGGTTGCAACAGAAGCGTGAATCTGCATTTGATTAGTCAGAATCAAGTGCCCTCAGTATGATTTGTTCATTTGATATACAGTAATGTCAGTTCTGTCAGATTCATGACACATTGAAGCATCTTGACATTTTTGACTGACACACACACACACACACACACACACATATATATATATA